TTTAATTAAAAAAGAAGCTTTTTGATGAAAAAAATTAGTTTTATCATTTTTTGGAATTTTACTTCAGCGATATAAAATTTTATTCAAACATTTTTGACATTAAACTTTTCTTTTATCTATGAAAATCTATTTAATGACCCATTCATTTAACATAATTTCAAGTATTTCTGTCAAAATTTATGTAATTGATGGTAATTGAGCGTGGGACGTTTTCGAAAATTTATTTCTTAGTTTTTTGAGTTGTGTACTTTTGAAGTAAGAGAACGATATTATCGATCACTTTCAATTATTAATAGTAAATCAGAAATGAACGTCACGTCGGTCGACATTTATTCAACACAAAGCAAGATTAATTTCTCGTTTTCACTTAATGCTGTATTCAATTCTGATATTACGGTTCCAGTTACTTATATGATGAAAATGATAATCATGTAACCGCATTCAACGAGAATTAACACGGCGAGAATACGTGTATTATTTGCTTATATGCGCTTACGCCTGTAGCAATGTTTCCTCGTCTCGAGCAGCAAAATCATCGTATCGTACATCGCTATCCATGACAGGAATACAACGCTACCAACCATTCAGTTTAACCAATGTGAAACAGTATATCCTACCGTACAAGCGGAATAAATTGCCACATACTGTTTCGTACTGTCATTTGTTAGAGAACCACAGATGCGATCGTTCTCTAATGAAAGGTGAATTTGCGTAAATCCTGAAGTAAAGAATTTTCAACTCATAACTAATATTAAATATTATTTCTTTTAGTTATACAAAAAGTAAATAAATTATTAAAAGTATACAAATTATTAAAAAATAAATCATTTACTTAAATTTATCATTTTTTATTTTTATTCATCTTTGTCTTTATATTATTTTATAACTAATAAGCTTCACTTATAGTTATTTCGTTTTATATCAATTTATTTCGATCAAGTCTTGCAAAATCTAAATTTAACATGAGAGGCAATTTTTTATTTAAAATTTAAAAAAGTGGAACAAATTGTCATTATAGTATTTCATTGCCATTTGCTAAAGAGTTACAGATCGTTTTTTATTTGTGCACTCCTTAAACTAAAGCAACTGTATCTAATATGGGCGTTTACTCAAGACGCCTTATTCAGTTTGTAGGTAATTACACGATTAATTCAACAGATAGTAGTAATAGCTCGTACAAATTGTCCGTCTGACTCGACATCAGCTTATTGCTCAATTTGTTCATTCTGTTATCGTCAATAAAGCAAAATACCGTAGTTATTACGTAATATAAGATAATTGCTTCCTATAACTATCAAAAGATGATTATTAATTTTAGTATTTTATGCTATTGTAGCTTTATATTTATAACACTATACACATATTTAGTTTACGTTTTTGTTACAACGTTTCATTTATAATCAAAGAAAAAAATTCTTTATAAAAACCAATTTGGCCAACTTATAGATATACTGGGTATATCTATATTAGATTGTAATATATTTTTTTGATACTTTTGTTGTTTTAAACCACAGATTCTAATTTTAACTGCTAAACATCGTGAAAGTAAATAAATAAGTAGATAAGCTTATTGTTTAGACAAGAGAACAAATAGTTCTTTATGTATTCTTGTATGGGTTAATAAATATCAATATATAAGAAACTTATAATCTTATATTAGAGAAAAAGTTGTTTCGATTTAAAAAAATTTTCTTTACTATATGGTTAAAGAAAAAATTTCTTTGATTTAAACATTATTTTTTAAAATCAAATATAATTTATTTGATTAAAAGAATATGTTCGAATCCAAGAAATGACATTCAAATCATGATTTCTTTAAATCAAATAAATTATATTTGACTTTAAAAAAATAATGTTTAAATCAAAGAAATTTTTTCACAAATCAAAGGAATTTTTTCTTTAACCGTATAGCAAAGAAAATTTCTTTAAATCGAAACAACCTTTTCTCTGAATGTAATATTGGATCACTTTATTTTTCTAACATTTTTTTTTTACAAAAAAGAATGAAACATGTACTTAAGTCATATTGAAAACATATGTAGTATGCGCAAAATACTTTTTTTTATCTTTACTATATATATAAATATTTAAATATGTTTCATATTTTTTATTAACAGAAATGAATGTTCTCTTTTTTAAGTATGACCACTAATTTTCAATTTTGAACTCAATAAAAAATTAGAAAAAAAATCGCAAAATTTAATAGGGACATAGGATTTGATTATTTATTTCAATCATGTTTAGTGTATTTATATTTAATGTATTATGTAATTTATCGATTGATATTAATATTTTAATTGAACGAGAAAAATTACATATAAAAATATATATTTTGAAAAATTTAAATTTAACATAAAAAAATATCTTATTCAAAATACGTCAAAATAAATTTCGCAGAAATTTAAATACAAAATTAAAAGCTGTCTATATTATTGTTTCTGTATTTAGTTGATATTTAATTTATAACTTGAATTTATTATTTCCGATGCACTCTTGAATCTCATCACATAAGAATAGGGCCTTCTTCTTACGAATTGAGCTTATAAACAATATGAACATTTCCGTTCCTTTTTTACAACTTTTCAGATTATTTTTCCACTTTTAGCCACGCGCATAAATCAACCCGTACACTCCACTCTCGTAAAAATAAAGCATCTCCTGCTCTCCGAGAGTGTCTCTCAAGTTTAACGCATAATGGTGCATCCGTGCATCTTCTCGAAGAGACGCATCACGTCACATATCACGATTTGACGGGATGTGCACCATGGATCGATGCTGTCGGGAAGCGCGGACAATGAGATCCACCGGTGGATACCTAAGCACGTGATCCGTTTGGTATAGCGACCGGAAATACAATAGCAATGTAAAGACAGTGCACCGCATAGTGACGGATTACGACACAGACGTACTAACACGTGCTCTCTATTTCTATATTTATTGTTCTACTCTCTTTGGTTTAGTCAAAAATTTGCTCCTTTTTTCGACTGTTTCTATAATATAAAATGACCAAGACAGTTTTGATATGTCAGATTAGCACGATATTTTATTTATACTAATCATTACATATTATCCTATCAATTCATACACACAGTAGAAAACATAAATTTATACTTGTATTAAAATAGATAAAATAGACTTGAATTTTTAACATATTCGTGTATTAATTTGACATAATGTGATATTATTTGAATATTTTGTGTTAAATGAATATTTAATTTTTTTTACAATACAAATATTAAAATAACGCAATTTCTGAATAAGTAAACAAATAAAATAAGAATAATGTAGTTTTAAAACATTAAGCTAAATGAACGTATTAATTTAACTGTAATTTATTAAATGCTAATTTTATTGAAAAAAATATATTTTTACAATTTGTCCAAATTATGTCAAAATGTTATAGTTTTGTTAATTGTTTAATTTTTAAATATTTTAAATGTTTGTGTTACTTTCATTTTTAGCAATAACAAATTAATCTAATTAATGTAAAAATTTGAGTGGACTGTTTGGAATAAGTGAAATGTGTTAAATTTAATATGAATTTTCTAATTGTTTAAAAGAAGTTTCGAACTATGTAGAAGAGCAATATAGAGTTAGAATGATATCAGCAAATAATTTCTTGCTATGCAAGTATTGCTATGCAATAGATTGACGATTAAGTGCCGTAATGTCGGAGTGCAATTTCTTACACCCTTTTTTGCTCGACTCAGCCTTTTTAAATTGTAACTTTACAAAAACGAGTTTTAAATTTATATTTATTGCAAGAGCGATGTGTTTTTACAAGAACATATCTGATTTTAATTACGAAAAATAATTGCTTGTAATTAAAGGCAAATTTTTTCTGCATTCCTTAAGAGATTGAGGTTTTATTAAAGGATTTACTGAATTCCTCGTTAGCACCGTTAGTCTTGGGCGTCAGACTGTTTGGATTCACCACTGCGCTTGTGGAAACTGTATCGTTGATTATGGTCGGATTACTGCGACGATTAAGCACCGCTTTAAACGATCCTACATGATTTACATATCTGTGGTGATGCACGGGACACGCTTATCTTGATTATTCAGAATAATCTTTCCCACCTTTGTGTCTTTAATTAAACACTTCTTTCTTTGCGCAATCCGATTTATTTTACGATACGAATAATTCTCTTAGTGTAATATTTTTCATCGACTAGTATTGAACATCATTAGATCATAATTTACAAATAAGAATTTATCGTATTTATCGAATTTATTTATTTCTTGTTAAGAATTTTATGATAAGAAAGAATGCGCGCGTAATAATCGTACTATTTTTTCATCGATGCAATTTTTGTAGGGTAATATATTAATGGAAGTGCGCTTGTATTCGAAAATACGCAAAAATAGTACAAGAGTGTGTGTGTGTGTGTGTGTGTGTGTGTGTGTGTGTGTGTGTGTGTGTGTGTGTGTGTTGGATATCAAACATTTTTCAACTGCATTGCGGAATATGTTTCTCTGGCAAAATCTGCGGAATCATATTTTCAACCGGCTTAATATAATACTTCACAGTTCTCCAATATTTCTCCGTGATTTGGAGAAACGTCAGTTCAGATAGAAATAGATATATCCAAAAATTACGTTATTATTTTTGGAGTGTGGATTTATTTACAACTATTTTGATTTTACGATACAATTAATTATAGATTATATCTTTGAAGTATAAAGGAAAAACTAACAATGCTAATGCAAAATCCAATATATTTATAAATAATTAACCGCTTATGTCAATCTATCAATTCATAATATTGCATACTTAATTCGAAAAACTGGAAACTTTATAAAAACTTTATATAAAATCAATACTGCTTAAAATATTCAAAGTTTCTTTAATATATAAATATATTTGACATGAATTGAGATTATGTCTTAATATTTTTCACAGAATAAAAATTCGGAACTAATTAGAACTGAATTTTACGCAAGCGTAATAATGAAACTACAATATAACTTACTCCCTCCAGTCGATTTGCGTCGTATTTGGCTCTTGTTGCTTCACACACTTATTTCTAAGTTCACCCATATAAACTTGCAAGGCAAACAATGCAAAAACCATCAGACAGAAAATCGTCAGCGTCATTACTTCGGCAAGTTGTTTGAAACTGTGTAACAGCGCGTTGATGATAGTTTTTAGACCTGTAACATACATTACACATACGTGATTTTTTTATCAATCGAAATTTTCTCTTAATTTCATATTTGATATTTGAATGTTGCTTTTATATTCCATAAATATTTCGAGATATTCCGAAATACGTTTAAAACGTTTTTTTTTTTGAAGGGGGGGGGAAGAATTTTATGAATATTTCAGAAAATATTAGCGTTAGCTGGGTTACAATTATGAAAGATTATCCCAAACACAATTCTAAATATGTCCAAAGGATGTTATATAGACATCCTTAAGACGCCACTCGGAGAATTGTGTTCTGTGCCATATTTTAATAAATATACTGAAATATTATTTTAATTTCACTTCTTTTTTTATGACATTATTTTTATCTTTTCGTTATGATTTTGAATATCTTTGTTTTGATATGCATATTTGCATAAAAATATTGCATTTTAATTTTACTACTTTTTTTGTGATAGTATTTTCGATTCTTTTCATTATGTTTTAGAATGTATTTACCTTTTTTTATATTTTTATTTAATATCTTACATTTTTAATGGATATCTAGTAGTGAGAAAGTCAATCTTGTCCAAGTGGAAGAAGAAGACGGCGATGAATGACATACATCGGACAGAAAAATGCAATATATCTAGTATATATTCGCATCAAGTACATTTACGAACATGATCGTTAATTGTAAAAAAAAATCTACATTCTTCCCTAATACATCCATTTTTTTATGATATCAATTTATTTAAACAAAACAATTTTTTATTACATAAGCATCCTTTCTGTAAAGAATATGCTGTAGTCTCTTTCATGACATGGTAGTGTTCCTTTCATGGTAATATAAAAAAGATGTTATTAATGTACTAAACTTCAAAAATATACTTGAGAGACGCTACCACGTCTCCTGATTAACGCCCACCGTTAGCTTTAGTATATAGGTAAATCGATTTTTTTGAGACCGCGGCAACTTTATTCAAGAAACATCTTATTAACCTACTAGCAAAGATGCGATATTCATCGGCCTTTAGGAATCCCACAGAGTGTGAGTTCTCTCGACTTCCATCTGTTCTTAAAAATGTAATCTTACGAATATGCTTCGATCTCCTACCGAGTCGTATGCACTCGATACCTAACTCATTGTTTGATTTTTCGGGATTATCAAGAGAAACTTATTGTTAGCGAGATCGAAGATCTTCAATTTATAGCATTCAGTCACATATGTTCGCAAATATTACGAATATTTCTCATTTATTTTTTTATTTGACTTTAATATCGAAACATATAGGGAAAAGACTTGCGGTCAAATCAATAAATCACATTCGGTGAATAGCTGTGTACATTCGCATACTTTTTGAATTTGTACACAGCATTTGAAATCGATATCGCAGACCGTCGAGATAAATCACAATCCTTTTCATCGAACGTATAGATGCGAAATGGAACAGTTTCGATAACATCTGGAATAATCTCCCTGTTCTCTGTTCACAGAACAGAGATGACATTCGCTGTATTCGAGTTCATGCAAACTTCGGTCAAAGTTCGCCGTTCATATATATACCACATCGATCCCGCCATCTCTTTTCCATGAACAAGAGATGACTTAAATCTTCTTTCGCCATCCCCGAACCTTAGTCGCTTTGTGTTTTTCATTCGAGTTGCCAGAGACGGACAGTCGTTTATAATTTCCTACTATACCTCTTGGTTTCTTTAATTTAACTAACTTTAGACTGAGTTGCTTCGGCGATCTGTTAGTTTTCGTGTCTTTCGCTTTGTTGTTTCGCGAATTTTGTTTGAAATTTCAACATGTTCAGTCTAAAACCGCTTGACATGCGCGTTTGATCAACGTTGTCGTTTCGTTTTGCATGTCTTTTACAAGATAATTTTTATTGGTAATTTTTATAAATATAGAATGGCTAATAATCTAAACGAACGATTTTTGACATCATTAAAACATAATGTTGATGAAATAACAAAAGGCGAAAGAATTAAAAGAAATGTATAAAAGTTGATTTAAATAAAATTATTTGGAGTAGCAATGCGCATTCTACGACACAACTGTTGAATTTTTGTGGCCTGCCGACTTATAGCTAAAAATGTATTGTAAAATCATTCTATTTTATGCAAACAAAATAAATATTAACAGCTCAAAGGATTTTACCTCTTTCTAAAATTAGCATTCCTGAAAATGATCTTTAGAGAAGTCTGATCTTCAGAGAAAGATCAGAATCGGTTTTCACAGGTTTTTGAATAATAATTTAAAAAAAAGTGAATGTAAAATTTTGAAACACTATTTAAATTATAATATATTTATCTACATCCCTTAGGTATTAAAAAAAAATTATTCTTGAACATACTATTGTACAAATAAGTTATTTAATTTTATTTGAAGCTGCAAAAATATGAATTAGATCAATATTCAGGATTGATGGATTGTCACACGTTTCAGGATTGGCAATAACATATTTTTTTATGAAGAAAAAATAAAAACATTCAGCTTTTATTTTAATCCAATTCTTTATTTTAGGAATATAATATAATCCCCTAAAAAATAAGTACAAAATATTCCTAGAATGATATATGAAAATTATTAAAAAAAATAATATAATATTTCGATAATATAATATTTCGAAAATATTATATAACATTTTTTAAATATTAATTTAATATTGTCCTTGATATTATGAAATTGATTATCACATAATCCTGAATCATTTTGAACAATCTATCACATATGATTATTTTTAGTAAAAGAGATTTTTAGTAAAAGAGATATTTACGAACTGGTCAGAATAATGATGAATTAACTAACAAAAATTTTCTGAAATATGTCATTTTCTATTGATAGAAGGAAATAACAATTAATAATGCTAAAAACTTGCCAGACAATAAAATAAAAGATAAGAAAAATTTATTCACCAATTTAATTTTCTTAAAAGGTTTTGGGAAAATATCGGGGGAATATAAACAAGATAAACATTTCTTCATGAGCTTGATCATTCATAATTTCCATAAATTTCTTTGGGCTGGTAAATTAAATGACGCAAGTCCTTTTCTCTATCCGAATCGCAATGTGACACGAAGTAAACTCGGACAATTCCCTTTAACACGCTATCGCAAATTTACCTGTCCCACACCGAGTGCAGATCAGTGTTGAATATTGCAAGAGATTACAAGGGAAACGATTACGAGAACGATTCGCGAGTGGAACCGCTAAACGTCCTCATGCATATATTAATATGCAATCATACGGCCACAAAAAAAACCGTACATGCCATAAACGTTTAATTATGTATGTGGAATGAATTCTGAATTTGCGATGAATTCTGATGTCGAATATTGTAATTTCAATCAAGTTATTAATACTATAATAATATTATAAAGATAATAATAATAATGTGTAAAAAAACTGTACAAGTATCTAGGTTATCAACATAATACTGCAATGAGTATTATGAGTCCCGCTACTTAATTGTTATTCAGTTTTTGTCATGCGAATGGATTAATGCGATAAATCACGATGCTCTTACATAGAGCGCGAAAGCAAGCGATTTTTAATTATTCGGAGCAACCGTTTAAAATCATTTCAGCAAAAAATAATGCGGTCTTGATTTAAAGTCACAATTAATACGAGAAACGATTCAGTTTATCTGCAGCTGATTAATGTATGTCTACTGACATCGATTGGTGCGCATTTAATCGCTATATAAACCAATGCAAAATTTTTGTCAACTATAATCAATACGTATCGACACACATTCAGTTGTTTCATCCGCAATAGTCATAAATGTACATTTTATCTCAGGAAAAGAGAAACAATCGCTGTTTTTTCAATAATAAACCAGACTGTTATATGAATAAATACAATAAATAATAAAAGAGTCAAATGCGTATACGGTCGAGGTTAGATCTTGATATCTAATTATATTTCTATGTAAATTTTAAATACATCTTTCGATCCCAATTATTTAAACTCACTGTTTATTATTTTTACTTAATGAAATAAAATGATCACTGAAATGATCACTTGTATAAAGCTAATTTGTTTAAGATTAATTGTTTCTTTTTTTTTTTTTTTTTCATTAAGTTATGAAAAGAATGAATAATCATCATTTTTCTACTTGAGACGAGAAAATCTGTTTGGTACTTTAAGTATTTCTCGATTGAACCAAACATGGGGAAATACATGTCTCAGAAACTTGCTGTATTACCTGGCATAATGGATACAGTCTTAAGTGCTCTCAACACCCTGAACGTCCTGAGACCGGCCAGATTTCCGACTGCCATCCCAATAGTGGCATATCCGCTGGTAATCACAACGAAGTCTAACCAATTCCAGGGATTCCTCAAATAAGTGTACTTATTCAGTATAAATCCCTTCGCGATTGATTTTATCACCATTTCCGCCGTATATATGGCTAGGAAGATTAATCTGTAACATGAGAAACATCGGACATCAGTTCAACTATTCGCTAATGTTTGTTATCGAAATCTGATATGTTTTATAGAAAAATCAAAATATAGAACATATCCAAATACTGCAGTTTCCTGTAACTATTTTCGAAAAATTTATTCAGTAACGAAAAAAGTCATCCTTTCTAACAGTTTTATGGATTTCCAAGAAATATAAGTGATTGTTCATATTTAAATCGTTTCAAATTTTGTTTTAAATATAAAAAATTACATAAATGTTACATGATATTGTAAAACATAATCTTTATAACGGTAATACGGTTTGCACAGAGTTTCAATAGTTACTTATTACTGACAAGGAAACGTTCCAAATTGCAAAAGCGATATCAAAAAATTAAAGCTACCAGTCAAAAGATCACGTTTGAAATAGCTATTCTAAATAGTTAAATCTTATAGATTCTGTATCCGATTTGTTACGAAACATATTTGGTCATTTTAACTTTGATTGACAAAATATCTCGAGAATAATATATTTTTGGAAAAAACGTTTTAAATAAAAGTTGTAGGGTTTGAAGAGGGTTATTAGGTGAGTTACTTAGATTTTAGAAAAAAATTAACCTAGGCCTTATTGGCCTCAAAATGGGCCCTAAATCCAAAATCTAAGTAGCTCATCCATTGACCCGCTTCAACCCTACAACTTTTATTTGAAACATTTTTTCTAAAAATGTTGTTCTCAAAATATTTTGTATCAAAGTTAAGTAAAATATATATGTTTCATAATTAGATACAGAATCTACAGGATCTCAAGATTTGACTATTTAGAATATCTATTTCAAATATGATCGTTCGACAGCGTTAATTTCTTGATATCACTTTTGTAATTTGAAACGTTCCCTTGTGAAATCAATCACTGTTACTACATAAACATGAGATAGTTTATACTTACTCGGCATCGTCAAAGGTCTCGGTCATGGCTAGGAAGACGCAGTTAAGAAGGATAGTAGCCATGACCACATAATCGAAGTACTGATTTGTACTTAGGAAGATACAGCACCGCCGTATAGGATTCCATGGAGAGAATATAAACCAACTGTTGGTCGCCGTAAACCTATGAATGTAATTTTTGCGGAACCTCTTGGATACCACGCAGAACGTCTGAAACATAAGAATAAATAAGATCTTATCGATGAGTTTAAAAATTTCCGCAGGGATAGAGATCTAAAACTATATTCCTACTAGAGCAATAATGAGACTTTTGTTGCTCCATATTTTTTGAAAAAGTTACCGGTTGCTGCCAAAAGTTTCTTAATATTTCTTTATATTTTTGTTGTCAACAACAAAAGTTATTCTTTGTCATATGTGAATTTTTTGAGCTCTTTGGAGCTATCTAACGAACAACTGCATCATTAAAATTAAATTCTGTTATGGAATACATAATTTTCAACCTCATATTTTATCTATGTTCAACGCAACGAGATGCAAAACAACGATTCATCGTTGAACGTTATGCTTAAGCAATGTGTTAAAACAGCGCAGACTCCAAAAGCGGCAGTGGGTCAACGCGTAATTATTAATAAGCCGCTTCAGCATTCAGATAATCGACGGTAGGATATTTATCAATTCAGAGAATGGGTTCGTGGGATGGTTTTAAAATCAGTGGGAAGATTCCCGATTATTTTCTGTACAAAAATGTTGATTTGTTAATCGTTTCCTCGATGAAACATAAATTTGAAGACGCTTCTCGTATCGATGCATTTCTATTTTAGACACGAAATAAATAAATTTATTAAGTGAATTTTTATATGATCTATATCCCCATGTATACTGAAAAAATGTCATATCAACAGCATTATTTTAATTGAAAATATTACTTCATAATACTATTAATAAAGTAAATACGTAATATTCTTGTATCAAACATTTTATTAACTGTTGTTATATAAATTATTAAGAGTATTTTGAATTATAAAATATTATTAATAATACCATTTTTTAAAATGTATATTTGATTTTTAATTTTAAAATTAAAATATTGGTTTAATATTTTCGATCGAAAATATTTAAGGATTTTTTCGTTTTAAGAACTCTTTCGATCCTGTAGATGAATTATATCAGCCTTAGTAATACTCACATCATTAGCTAATTCAAATAAATCAATATACAGAATATTATTGACTATAATTGATCAAAAATTACATCAATAGTATTTGATTTTTAAAAATACTTGTATATATATTTTTATAGGATGGAATCTTATTCTAAAGAGTGAAAATTGAGCCAACCTTTAAAAAAAGTGACAAAATTCTGTAACAGTAAGCGTAAAGTGTAAACTTAAGTCGATGAGCCAATCAGGATATTGCTTTAAATCTAAGTAATCTGAATTAGAAATAGAAATAGCATATAAACTTAGGTTGAAATTTGTCTTACACAGTATTCGCAATATCGACTGTCGGAGATATAGCTATCTCTGTCTTCTTAACAAAAGAGCACAAAAACTTATATTCTAAATTATTTTATATTCTAAATTAGAGTCGGTCCTCATATTTCGCAAATTCTTGTATTGTTTGCTAGAAAAAATACTTTCAGCCTGAAATATCATTTCAATAACAACCGTTAATTATAAATTATAAATTTGTTTTGATTTGTGTTCACGACAAAGTCATTCCCTCTTTTCATAATCTTTCTTCGTTAGAATTCTGTTAAACGGTAAGTTTAGTTTAGTAGTGAGTTGAAATAATTGAGGGTAAAGATGGGATAGAGGAGACAATAATGTGCAAATGTTAACAGTTATAAACTTTTTAGCAATTTGTTATAGTGGTGTACTTTGGACAAAGATGTTTCAGTGTTCATAATTACTGTTCGTAATACAGATCTTTTATAATATCTTTATTTCATATAGTATATCTTTTTTTTTTACATAATTTCAATGAATTCTTAATTTCGTATAGTTCTAAATTGAAGTTTCGTTGAATGTCGTGTCGTGAGTGCAAGTGTATGTGTGTGTGTGTGTGTGTGTGTGTGTGTGTGTGTGTGTGTGTGTGTGTGTGTGGAGTGACGAAATTCTTTGACAAGAATTGATAAATTAAAATAAAGTTCTGTGTGAATTAATATCGAATACTTATAATTTTGTTGATCGTTTTTATCAATATGTTTTGGAGAGCCTTGAGAATTCATTATAACGGTTCATATAAAAGTTTTTAATTTTTATTTATGATGCTTG